CTTTTGGCCAAACATGAGTACATCCATGTGATAAAAGCATCACTTTGTGTTTAACCAAAAGGGGAAACATCTCAGTGAAATAAAATCAACGAAAATCATACACAAAAAAAAAAAAAAAAATAGAAAGACAAAACACTGTATTTTCTTCTAATCAATTGTAAAAGCAGTTTATTGAATAACACAAAAACATATAAGGTTAATTTAAGAATTATGTTGAGCATTGTCATTTTGATGATCGTACAGATCTTCAGAAACATGCTGTTGATGTTGAAGATGTGGAGGAACCATTGGTGAAGAAGTACGCTGAATTAATGGAGGCTGTCCTGGCAATTGAGGGGATGATCTACCATTATTATTGACCAAATGGGAATATTGTGGATTTTGGGAAATTTGATAATTGTTTGGGTAAACGTTATAAATTTGGGAAGGAGAAATAGGCAATCCAGCTGAATTATAAGAGTTTTGATATTGTGAGTTCATATTGTTTGGAAGGTAGTTATTGAGTAACATAGAATCAGATGGATCAGGTAAAATACGACTGTGAGGGGAATCCATTGATTCAGAGTACGGTACTGACATTGCAGAAGATGGACGAGGGGCTGGAGAGTGGATCGGGGTAGGCTGATATTGAGGATAGGTCATTTGCGGCATTTGATTAGCAGGAGTGGAAGAAGAAGATTGCGCCTGAGGGTGTTGCATAGAATCCAAAGCAGGAGTATCTCCAGCGTTCAAACAAGCTTGAATCATGTTTTTTCCTTCTGGTTTAGTAATAAGAGGTTGAAGTTTAGGAGTAGCAAAGGTATAGACGTGACCAGTTTCGGAAGCAACTAGAAGTAAAACTTGAGTTCCAGTTAGAGTAGACAATTCATAAGCCTGGATAGGTTAAAACGAATGATTAAGGTACCTTTTTCATGATCCCAGCCTTTCTCTTTGAAAAGGTGATATGACGACGGGATTTATCTTCAATGTATTCAATTTTAATCTTTCTACGACCAATCTTTTCTTTCTCATCATCATCTTCATCAGCAGCAAAAGTATCCAATTCCAATCCAGCAGTTCTAGCATCTCTCTTGTTTGCGTTCAAAGGAGATTTGACAGGTTGTAAAGTGCCCCCTCCATAAGGTTTTCTCTGTTGTTGAGAAGGGACATAAGAGTTTGATTGTTGTGAATATTGCGAATCTCCATAGGATGTCGTCATGTTATTATTTAGCATTTCAAAAGAATTTTCCCAATTGGTTCTTTCTTAAACAGGATTCCTGAAACGGCGTGGCGAAGCACTTCTCCCAATTTAGGCTTGGGTGGCACTAGTGAATCAAGTCCCTTGATCTGTTGTTTCACCCTCACAAACCATGAAACTACAGACCAATTTACTATCAACAAATATCACATTCTCTTAATTAAGGTCGCTGCTCAACACACTAACGTAATTCACCAAATTACGTGTTTATTTCTACTACTTTTGGCTTGGGTGTTCCGAAATGCGCAACACAGACGATCTCTTCCCTTCCCGCTTTTTTACAACATGTTTTGCAAAATTGGCGTGTGCATTTATCAGAACCAACGTTGGGACATATTTTACAGATTAGTCGTGGGGCTAACTGTTATCGCCGTTCTTCTACTTACTCTTTTTGGGCTTCTGCACTTGTGTGTTCTTCCTCTTGTTTGATGTTGTTTTACCATTTGATAAATCTGATTCATTTGTTTCATTGGCAGAAGATGTCATAGGCTTGTTCTTGTCTAAATTGGGATGTGTAGACACCACAGAGTTCCTTTCCACAATCGGTTCAATAGGTAGTGGCTTTCTAAAGAACGGTTGTGCGACCCAAAAAGGATATTGTCGAATTGTATCAACAGTATCATAAGTGTCATTATACTGATGTTTATCGGATCCTGTTTCTTCCTAACTGTAAGAATTCAAATGTTTACGATAATACGAGACTTCATTTCTCTGACAATTTCACCAAGATCTTCAAATGACCTTACAACACCTAACCGATCACGCAGGTCGATGTGCTTTGGTAAACTAATGGTAAAGATATATCACAAGAATACCAAGCATGGAATAATTTAAATATATGTGCCTTTGCTTGATTATGGGTGGCAGAACCTGGAACAGCATTACAAATCTGTAGATACTACGAATGTTAGTTTACGAAAGTCAATCACTTTTTCTGCAAGATACCATGATGCGTAACTTTCGGGGACAAACAGAGCCGGATTGTACAGATTTCCCTCTAATTGGTTAGGCTATTGACAAATTAAATACCGGCAGACATAACACCGTCAACTCCAGTCTCTTTTATGCATCTTTCGATATCTTCAAAGTAAAGTATATTTCCATTTGCAAACATTGGGATTTTAACTGCTTTTCTAAACATCAAACCGTGTTAATACATACCGAATCGCAGCAATTTGTTCCCAATTTGCAATTCCGGTTAGTTGACCTTTTTGCTCACGCAATCTTCCATGTACAGTTAACAGCTGACAACCAGCATTTTCCAACATTTTTGCATATCTAATTGATTTTTCGACTTCAGGGAAAACTCTTATTTTGCATGTAATCGGGACTTTTAATTCTTTGTTTAGCAATGATACTGTCATTAAATAAATATTTCAAATACCCATTGATGCAATCAATTCCCAATTCTCTTCATCCATCAAAAATGATCCATAGTGTCCCCGTTTGGCTATATGTTGTGGACACCCCAGATTTAAATCAACTGCTGCACAATCATTTTCGACAAATTTAGCAGCTTGTAATAAGCATTGAGGGTCATTTGCACAAAACTATTTATCAACGTGAGATTTCTTCTAATACTTGAACAATCAAAGGAGTATCAGTTTCGTTATAAACCCAATTTTCTTTTCTGTATTTGGAGTTTTCAGCAAACAACTTTGCATGGAACATTGGTGTATAAGTAACTTGTGCGTTAAACTCTCTGGACAATAATCGCCAAGCTAATTCGCTCTGGTCTACCATTGGAGCTACGATATATTTTGGTGATTTAAGAACCTTTTCATAGAATTCATACCCTTCCAATTTCATATTGAATGTTTGAAGTTCAGTCTTTTTGGGTTCTTTTTTTTTGTTTTTGTTTTGAAACTTCTCTCAACAATTGGGAAACTATCAAATCTAATCAAATGGTGAACTTCTTTCCATAATAGATAATCAAAAAAAATTGTAGTTGGCATGTGCCAGTTCTTTGTAAATATAGTCAATAAAATCTGAGATGTCATAGTTCTTTTGAATCATTTCAAAGCGATAAAAACTATAATGGCCTATTTGAATTCTTAAAACATAACCATAAGTTGAACTTGCATTTTTTTTTTGACAATTTCAATGAGGATCTTTGATAACAAAGAGTCTAGATTTTCCATTTACAAGCAGTTCAAGGTTGACAAAAAGGTTGGAGAAGGTACATATGCAGTGGTTTACTCCGGATTGGCAATTCCCAAAGATGAATCCACCAAGCAACAGAAAATCGCAATTAAAATGATTAAACCTGGAATGTTTGCTGATGGATTAGACATGTCAGCCATCCGAGAGATAAAGTACTTAAAGGAATTAAAGCATGACAATATAATCAACTTGATTGATGTATTTTCATATAAACAGAGACTTAGTTTGGTGGTTGAATTCTTGGAAGCAGATATGGAAACAATCATTAAAAACAGAGCCGTAGTTTTTAGTGGTGCTGATATTAAATCTTGGATGTTGATGATGATGAGAGGAGTTAATCATTGCCATCGCAATTTTATTTTACATCGGGTAATCCATATTGGATATTAAACGATACAAGGATTTGAAACCGAATAATTTACTCTTAGCTCATGATGGAACTTTAAAAATTGCCGATTTTGGGTTGGCAAGGTTATATGGCGATCCAAGTCATACAATGACATCTCAAGTGGTCACCCGATGGTATCGATCGCCTGAATTGTTGCTGGGGGCTAAGCATTATGGTGGTTCGGTTGATGTTTGGTCTTGTGGTTGCATTTTTGCAGAGCTGATGTTGAGAACTCCTTACTTTGCTGCGGAAACTGATATTGGTCAGTTAAAGACAATTATGAATGCCAGAGGTACCCCGACAGAGAAGGATTGGCCAGTTAGTTTATCTCTATTAATACATAGGGAATGAAGTTACTACCAGATTATTTTGAATTCCAAGTGGTGAAAGCTACACCATTACGGTCGATCTTTTCTGCCGCAGGTCAAGATGCACTTGAACTACTAGATACCATGCTAGCATACGATCCTTTGAAAAGACCAACATCAGAAATGGTTAGCTATTTATACTCATTTTACATAGATATTGGATCACTATTATTTTAAAAATATACCTAGGCCCACGAACCCGTCAAAACTTCCCAAAGATACCAAAGTAGTAACGAAAATCGAAAAACCAGTGGGATTGAAGAGAAAAGCTGATGATAATACAGAATCACAAGCACCTGCAAAGCTTGCCCGCAAATTGTTTTGATTCAGACCGATATAATATAGTAAATACCTCACGAAGTTCGTATTAACTGTGAGTTTGCATGAATGTAATTCCGAATTGCACCACAATTATGAAGCGATTTAGTGATGTAATGCAATTCTGACATGGCTATAGAATTTCAAACAGATATTTCTGTCATTGAATTAAACCATTCGGTTCAAAGAAATGGATTAGATAAAGTTCAAATGTATGAAAGTATGATCAGAGTAATTACTGAATTATGGAAAGAATGAAAGATAAGCTGGTGGGCGTCTGCTGCAAGCTGAGTTCGTCCTATTTCAAAGTGATGGTTAGCAATAATCAAGTGTACATATACTCAAGATTACGCTATCACATTTATATTTATTCATTCGAGTTTATATTCAGAAATGTATGTTATAATATATTCCTGATCATTCTAAGATGATTTTTGGTAGCTAGAGGTAAACTGGGGTAATTTAAGTGATTTGTTGATGAAATTGAGGTTACTGATCCTATAAAAGATTTTGAAATTTAGGATGTGCTGGCGTGGCTTAGTTGGTAAAGCGTCAGTCTCATAATCTGAAGATCATGAGTTCGAGCCTCATCGCGAGCACATTTCTTTTTGATTTTTTTTGTCAATTGCAGAACCAATCAGTTTCAAATAAATTTCAATTTCAAATGGATAATCAATGATACGTAACGATTTGCTGTAGGCCTTTACCACTGATTAATGATCAAACAGCTTCCCTGCATTACAAAGACGTTCATTTTTTTGTCAACTAACTCCATCTTCAAGCTATTCTGTTCTGTATATCATGTGAATTTGGTGCTATTGAAAGAATGAATAGGAGTAATAACGAATCACTCAGTAATTATAGCAAACACATTTCTTTCCATATTTTTCCTGTTGGATCTGTGTTCGTTATGGAGCATAAAGTATTTTAAAATGCACAATGAAATTATAACTTCCTAAAAATATACAATTTTTAGATATGAGTCTAATTTTCCATTTCGTTTCTTTACAAAAAATAATTCACCCACTTCCACTATGGCAACAGAACAGTCGCCATTACTACAACAACATACAGAAAGTTTAGAATCAGCACCTGTGCATAAGTACGAAAGACTAAATGAGTGCATCAACAAGATTGGAATGGGTGATTATCAGTGGAAATTATTCGTTCTTTGTGGTTTAGGATGGGCCGCAGATAATATGTGGTTTCAAGCTATTGCTGGTGTGTGCATTATTGATTGATTTTAGTCATTTTACCGAAAGTGAAGGAACAATGGAATTTGACTGGATTGGAAATCGGCTTAGGCAGCAGTTTGGCATTGATTGGTGCTATGATAGGCGCTTTATTATGGGGTTACTTCAGCGACAAATTCGGTCGCCAACCTGCATTTGTGTTCACTCTAATTATAGCCGCTGTTGGTGGACTTGCAGCAGCAGTTTCTCCGAACAAGTATTGCTTTTGGGTCTCTCTCACCGTATTGGGATGCGGGATTGGAGGAAATTTGCCTGTTGATGGTATTCTAAAGAATCTAACGTGGTTTAGGGGCATTATTTTTGGAATTTATCCCTGTAGACAATCAGTCTTTATTAACTCTCCTATCAGCATTTTGGCCAGTCGGGCAATTAGTAGCATCAATCTCTGGATGGCTGATTATTCCATCACAACCCGATGATTTGGGTTGGAGGCTATTAATGGGCTTCACTACAGTATTAACAGTTGCCATTGTTGTATGCAGAGTATGTATCTTTAAATTCTATGAAAGCCCAAAGAATTTAATATCGCGTGGAATGTACAGAGAAGCAACAGAGATTGTGAGAATACTAGGCAAGAAGAATAATGTGGAAATTTTGATCCACGAAGATGAATTTTTATCTGATGAAATTGAAGATACATGTTGCAAAGATTATTCACCAATGTTTGCTCCAGAATTGAGATTGACATCAATTCTGGTAATACTTATCTGGGTGTTAGTAGCAGTAGGTTACAACATATTTAATGGATTTATCACCGAGTTTCTGAAACAGAATGGAGGTGTAGATGGAAACCTTTCTGATTTCGAAACTTATCGAAACTATTTCTTGGTTTCGATATTTGGAGTACCAGGTTCAATTGTGGCAATGTATGTCACAGATAGCAATCTGGGTCGTAGAGGTACAATGGCAACTGCGACATTTGCGACAGCCATCTCACTTTTTTTAACAACCGTTTTTCGAACATCGTTTGGCCAGCTTGCAACTTCATGTGCAGTTAGTTTTTTTCAAAACATCATGTATCTTATTTATTAAGTAACCGTTAGGTATGGGGTTATATACTCGTATACTCCAGAGGTATTTCCATCATTCATCCGTGGTAAAGCAGTCGGTTTGGCATCTGCAGCTGGTCGACTAGCTGGTGCGTTTTCACCTATTTTAACTGGGAAGTTAATTGAAGTATCAGTACAACTCCCACTCTATATTTCTTCAACATTAATCTTTACATGCGCTTGTGCTATGATATTTCTTCCAATTGAAACCAGAGGTGTCTCTGCATCATAATCAGTGTAAAGATTCATAGAAGCTACAAATAATGTAGATTTTCTCCACAATGCTTCATAACTATTTATAAAAATATAAATTTAAGACACACCTGTACGTTGGAATATAGCTTTTTCGTTATTCAATAGAGAAACACAACACCGTATGAAAAACGGGCAGATATACTGGTAGAGTAAGTATGATATACATACTAAAGAAGCTCAGAAAGAGGTAATATACGTAAACTCGTTTATATTAACCTTATACTTCAAGTGTCGACTTATATGAATCAACAAGAAATTACAACCAAAAACATTTACAGAGAATAATACCTACAACACTACCAAACAGAACACACAGAATATCAACAATGGCAAATTACTCTGAATTGTGCAGGACCGCAATGCATTGGACACCAATATTATCACCGAATCATCTGCCTTTGTTGTTGTTTGTACTGCATGTGTTGCCTTAGCAGTAGGGTAGTTCGATATTTCAAGACCAGAAGTCAATCTTGGATATATTGAAGTATGGTGATGTGTGCTTGATTGTATTATCACACTGGTTTTCGCTATAGATTTTGTACCTTCAATTGAATGATATTGAGATCTACTTGGAAGGACTATCATATTACTAGTTTTTGTTATTGTTTTTGTAACTTCAACTGAAGGATATTGAGATTTTGTGGACGTGGTGGGACTGATAGTCCAAGTAAAGTCGCTGGTGATTGGAGACAGGGTGATTGATTCAGTGGGTTTATATTCAATCCTTCCCTCCGTTTGTAGACCACTTACTAAAGGGACTGCTAGAAAGCAAGCGCGTTTCGTTAAAAAATGAATCATGATTATCAAAACAAAAAGCAAAATTACGGAATCGGAATGAGCTCACACAAGGGTTGAATTGTGTAATCATGTTATGATGTCATTATTATGTCAACGTGGATTCACGGTTCATAGGCTGAATAAGGGTGTTTCAGTGTCTACGTCACTTTCTGATATATAAACAGTCATTCGTGATACATTAACCATCATGACTCCAAGTGCTAGTCCAGCTATCAATCCTAACGCTACTATCAAATCTCTAAGGGAGTTGTGGAAGGATGACTTTTCCAAGTTCTATTCTGATGAAATATCAAATGTATCCAGAAGTAAATATCCTCCTCAAAGATTCCATCACAAAGAATCAAATAAATGTTTTATATGATTAGAATCATTGAAATAATTAATATACATATATGCACCACCGCTATGTTTTGTTCATCATTTGTATGCTGTTTCTTTTGGAAGTTTTAGTAGATTAAATATCAAAGTAATGGATGTATCAATCAATCTATATAGCAACATTTTATATTAAGAGGAGATACTTTTGTGATAAACAGATATCACTCCTTCATAAACTGTGAAAACAATTCCACCAGAGAATATAAGCCGTCCAAGTCTAGGAGTTGCACCTTTCCATAAGGCAGTAAGTCCCTCTAATAGATTATTAGTTTACTATCCGAATACCATTTTTGATCACTTTAGTGACACAATCCACGAATGATGAATATTGCTTGGCGTCTAATGATTGAAGCCTTGTCTTGACGACATCTAATGGCATAGTGGTGTAAACAGTTATAACTCCAGCGATTGCACCTGATATGAGAACGTATTCGAGTTACCAGTGAAAAATGTAGTATACCATGGTACTATTGGAGTGCCTTTTGAATCGGTTGGGTAATATTCAGACAAGCGTTGTCTAATGAGACCATAAGATGACATTCGCACAGCAGAGTTGGCACCTTTAATAAGAAATACTACAATGATACCTTGCCTAGCAACAACAGCACTAACACCACGATATATACCAGAAAATCCTTCTTCTGCTATAATTGTTCTCACTCCATGTACCAAACCGCGATACTTTTGAACAGGTTGGTTTTGATCATGAATCAATTTAGTTTTAATTGTTTCTGAAGGAGTAACCACAAGTACACCTTCACAAATCCCAGCACCTAAACCAGCTGATTGAAATTTAATATACGATATGTTACCAAGTACCATAGATGTTCCCGACAACTTTCCATTTTTGTCTTTAAACAAAGCTTTGATTTGATCATATGCTAGAAATCTCACACCAGCTTTTGCAGCATTTCCAATTAAAAGTGCAGATAAACCACGGTAAAGTCCAGTAAATCCCCTTTCCTTCACCGTTTTAACAGCACAATCCCAAGGGCCAAAATAACGTTTCTATGATTAATCATGAAAGCCAAACCGGAGTGGCCTGGATCTGCAATTGAGTTTTAACATATTCGGTTGGATAAGTCAAGAAACCTTCGACAGCACCGGCAATTATTCCAGCAGTCAAAGATAGCCAAGCGGGTGTATTTTTCTACGAGTCAATTCCATTCCTTTACCTGTTCTACCATTCCCTTTGTAAAATAGAATTATTTGTGGAGTTGAGCTTGTGTATTTCTTTTTTTTCTTTTAGTTGAATTTTCATCACCATGTTCAGATATCTCCATAGACAATTTTCATCTACAGCTCAATGTCAGTCAAAGCTGGGAAAGAAGGCATTGAAATATCCTTTGGAGGTGCAGTTTACCGTATCACCATTCACTCCAAACGCATCTTTCCCACATTGTGATAGACAAGTTAGTGTCTCGGGTGAAAAAGGATCTTTGTCACTTCCTATTCATCCATATATACAACTCAATCATTTACAGGAGGAAAATAACAAAAAAGTTTTGGAAATCAATGTGGATAATCCTCTCAAAATTTCTCAAAAGATGATGTGGGGAACTACTAGAGCATTAATTGCAAGAATGTTGGAGGGAGTTACAGAAGGATTTACTCTGCCAATCCGAATTGTAGGAGTTGGTTATCGTGCATCTTTGGAAGGTGATAAATTGGCACTGAAAGTTGGCTTATCATATACAGCAATGGTTGATATTCCTGAAGGAGTTATTGTAACCGTACCAAATCCTCAAAGAGTTGTAGTTCAAGGAATTGATTGGGCCAAGATGACTCAGTTCGCTGCAAATGTACGTAAAACGAGAAAACCAGAACCTTACAATCAAAAGGGAATATTTGTTGGAGATGAAACCA